AGGGTGTAGAGAGGTGGGGGTCGGTCTCTTCTCTCAAGTCACAGGCGACAGGACAAGAGGAAATGGCCTCAAGTTGCCCCAGGGGAGGTTCAGGCTGGATATTAGGAAAAATTTTGTCACTGAAAGGGTTCTCAGCCCTTGGAATGGGCTGCCCAGGGAGGGGGTTGAGGCCCCATCCCTGGAGGTGTTCAAAAGCCGGGTTGATGTAGTGCTGGGAGGTCTGGTTTAGTGATGATGCTCCTTGTTTGTTGTGTGGGTGTCTATTTTTGTCAGTTAGGTTGACGGTTGGACAAGATGATCTTTAAGGTCCCTTCCAACCTAGAAGATTCTGTGATTCTGTGAATTATTGTGGGTTCCTCAAACCATAACACCTGGGGTGCCCGTGTAGCCCCTGGGCACTTCTCACCCTCTTTTTACAAGACCAGTGAGGTGCCCTCAGAGCTTCCCAAGCTCATGGTGGGTGAGGACCACCCTTTTTCCATCCCCTTCCACCCCACAGATCCCTGCCCCAGTACCTTCGGTCAGCCCCAGGTGTATACTCCAGTAGATCTGAAGGCACTGAAGCTCCTTCTTCATCCCTCGCTTGCAGCGGCAGTCGTAGAGGGGGCTCTCCTGCAACACCTCCAGGGCAGCTTGGCATTCCTTGTTGGCCAACATGGTGTTCCTGTCCCGGCCGGCCAGGCATTGCCTCAACGTACGGTACCTGGAGCTGCAGCTGGGTTCGCCCGCACACAGCTCGTTGGCTCGCACGCAGTCCACGGGCACTCGCCAGCCATGGGGGTCCTGCCCCGGGGGGGACGGGGGGCCGGCCAGCGAGCGGAGGATCTCATCTGGGTGAGGAGGAGGAGGAGGAGGAGCGAGGGGAAGGAGAGAGGAGGGCACAGAGAGGTGAGGGAGGGGTTTGGGTGGAGGTGAACCCCTTGTGTCCCCCTCCCCGGCACCCCAGGCAGCAGCACGTGTCCCAGCCGCCGTCCCCAACTGGTCCCTGGTGTTTAAGCCACCTTTGGAATGGTTCCTGGTGTTCAGGGCACCTTTGGACCAGTTCTTGGTGTTAGAGACACCTTCAGACTGGTCCCTGATGTTTAAGCCACCTTTGGGCTGGTCTCTGACGTTAGAGCCACCTTCAGATCAGTCCTTGGCATCAGAGCCACCTTTGGACTGGTCCCTGGCATTAAAGCCATCTTTGGACTGGTCCCTGGTGTTAAAGCCACCTTTGGACTGGTTCTTGACATTAAAGCCACCTTTGGACTGGTCCCTGGTGTTAAAGCCACCTTTGGACTGGTCCCTGGTGTTAAAGCCACCTTCAGACCAGTCCCTGGTGTTAAAGCCACCTTTGGACTGGTTCTTGACATTAAAGCCACCTTTGGAATGGTTCCTGGTGTTTAAGGCACCTTCAGACTGGTCCCTGATTTTAGAGCCACCTTTGGGCTGGTCCCTGACGTTATAGCCACCTTCAGACCAGTCCTTGGCATTAGAGCCATCTTTGGACTGGTCCCTGGCATTAAAGCCACCTTTGGACTGATTCCTGATGTTAGAGCCTCCTTCAGACCAGTCCTTGACATCAGAGCCACCTTCAGACCAGTCCTTGGCGTTAGAGCTGTATTTGGACTGGTCCCTGGCATTAAAGCCATCTTTGGACTGGTCCCTGGTGTTAAAGCCACCTTTGGACTGGTTCTTGACATTAAAGCCACCTTTGGAATGGTTCCTGGTGTTCAAGGCACCTTTGGACCAGTCCTTGGTGTTAGAGACACCTTTGGGCTGGTTCTTGACATTAAAGCCACCTTTGGAATGGTTCCTGGTGTTTAAGGCACCTTCAGACTGGTCCCTGACATTAGAGCCACCTTTGGGCTGGTCCCTGATGTTAGAGCCACCTTCAGACCAGTCCTTGGTGTTAGAGCCACCTTTGGACTGGTCCCTGGCATTAAAGCCATCTTTGGACTGGTCCCTGGTGTTAAAGCCACCTTTGGACTGGTTCTGGGCATTAGAGCCACCTTTGGGCTGGTCCCTGGTGCTAAAGCCACCTTTGGGCTGGTCCCTGGCATTAAAGCCACCTTCAGACTGGTTCCTGGTCTTAAAGCCACCTTTGGACTGGTTCTTGACATTAAAGCCACCTTTGGGCTGGTCCCTGGCGTTACAGCCACCTTTGGGCTGGTCCCTGGCGTTAAAGCCACCCAATTTGGGCTGGTCCATAGAGGGAGAGCATCCTTCCATCGTGCCTAAACCAAGCTGGGATGTGTCCCCAGCCCTGCCCACACTGGGAGCTGCCAAATTCCATCCAGTGGCCTCAAAAACCAAGCGGGATGTCACAGGGCCACCCTGGCAGCCCCAAGGCGGGGAAGGCAGAGGGTCAACCCAACGGAGGCACGTGATGCCATGGGACTCTCTGTTTCTGATTAAAACCAAACTGGGAAATAAACAAACAAACAGGGTGTGTTTCCAGCCCAGGCGTGACCTCTCAAGAGTCCAGGGAAGCAGAAAACCCATCCCAAGCCTCTGCCCCCGCTGCTCCTCGGGTTCCTCAGCTCACAGCTCATCGGTTTCAGGCCCATCACGGGATTTTTAGGGCATCTGAGTCATGGCTTTTCCAGCACTTGGGCTCCTCAGGGCTGCAGATCGGTGGCACAAACTCTTCCCCCCCTCCCCGGGGATGGCTTCCTGCGTGCCCCTTGTTCTAGCCACCCCTCGGGGTGGCAACCACCCAGCTCTCCTGGCTCCTACCCCTGCACAGCCCCTGCCCACTCCTTGGACCCCTCCTCGGCACGTCCTCCCCTTCCCGCCCGGTGCTCCCTCAGCTCCCACTCTATTTCCTCACTTTTTTTTTGCTTTTTTGAAATAGATTCTCGCCAAGACAACCCCAGGCAAGGCCACCAGCTCATCCCACCACGGACGGGCTGGTCCCCCCCCATTCCCACATCAATCCAAGTGATGGAGACAAGGGGTGGGCAGGACCCCCTGCCCCTCCTGACCTTCCCTCCAACCTTGGAAAACCCTTGGAGCGGGCAAAGACGGGCACCATGGGAGCTGGAAAGCACCTTCAGCCCCCCCCCAGGAGGGTGATGGACTTCCCACCCGGTGCTCCCTCAGCTCCAACACTATTTTCTCACTTTTTTTTTTGCTTTTTTGAAATAGATTCTTGCCAAGACAACCCCAGGCAAGGCCACCAGCTCGTCCCACCACGGACAGGCTGGTCCCCCCCCATTCCCACACCAGTCCAAGCGATGGAGACAAGGGGTGGGCAGGACCCCCTGCCCCTCCTGACCTTCCCTCCAACCTTGGAAAACCCTTGGAGCGGGCAAAGACGGGCACCATGGGAGCTGGAAAGCATCTTCAGCCCCCTCCAGGAGGGTGATGGAGGGGGAGACCCCAACTTTGTGCAATGCCCACCCCCCATTGCTGCCCCTGGGGAGCACCTTGCCCTTCCCCTGGCACCACCAGCTGGGCACAGCAAACCTCAGCCCCTTCCCAACAGCTCCCAGCCCCTTCCCATCATCTCCCAGCCCCTTCCCAAGCGGTGGCCACTGGGCCGGGTATGGCAGGGGGACAGTGACACCTACAGGCATGTGACAAGGGCCACCCGTGTCCCCCCCACCACTCGCCAGGGCACACTCCCAGGCTTGGTGGGCACCCAGCCCCAGCAGCATCTCCCCCAGGTGCCTGCAGGCAGGGCTTGTCCTCTGCCACCACCCTGGGGTGGCCACCCGTCCCCTGCCCTCCTGCGGGCCACCGGAGCTGAGTGACCACTGGAGACAAGTGGCCACACATGCCTTTGGCCACCTCGTTGAGTCGGGACACGCTCCCTGGGCCACGGGGAGAGGAGAGGGGACGCTGGGCTCTGCCAGAGGGATGGGACAACACCAGGGGTGACCCGGGTAGAAACACCTCCATCTGCCAAGGTCCTCCTGGTCTTCAGCCGATGGCCCCCAACAAACGCCGTTGGGCTCGGAGAGGTCTGGAGGGGATCCATGTAACCAGGAGCTCCCTACGCCCACGTTAGATCCAATTTGGGGTGGCAGATGTCCCCTGGGAAGGCCCTCCTTGGCCTTTCAGGATTATATTCCACACGGGAGGCAGGCAGGATCCATGAGCCCGGACTGGTGGAGGAGAAACAGGCATCCCCGAAGGTTCCTCAGGGCAGAAACGCCAGCTCTTCACCATGAGATGGACGACGCTTCGGTGCTTTGAGTAGAAACGGGCCAGCTCTGCACCTTGGCACACCGTGAAGCCCAACCAGAGGTACCCAGAGTAGACCCTGGGCCAACCTTGCTCCTGGTCGTGGCCACCAGCCCCAGGGCAATGGGTTTCCAGGCAGGGAGAGCCATCCCACAGCTCCACCGTGTGCCGTTCCTCCTCCCAGCCCCGCTGCAGATCCACCCAGAGCTGGCCCCGAGCAAGCCCAGGTCTCTCCTCCCATTCCATCTTCTCCAAAAGAAGCTTCTTCCTGAAGCATGGCCCGAAGCCTCTCCTCCAGCTCCCATCCCATCTCCCTGCTGGCTCCATGGGCTTCCCAGCCAGGGACTGGAGATGCTGGGAGGCAGGTGGGGAAGGGAGAGACAACCTTGCCCCGATGCAAAAGGCGCTGGAGCACATGGAGCATCCTTGGGAGGGAACCTCAGCATCCTCGTTGGAAGTGCTTGCTGGTGCTGGGATGGGGAATAAATCCACCCACCGGGGAGCCGGTGGTGACGAGCTGGTCCCCGACCTCCTGGCTGATGCCACCTTGCTTCCACAGCCTCACAGAGGTGCCCGCAGCATCCCACACCACATCCACACCAGGAGCACCAGCAGACCCACAAAAGCATCCCCCCGGAGGAAGAAGGGCAGGAGCAGCCCTTCCCCGTGGTCCCCAGCCTGCACAGGACACCTCGGTCCCCCCCAAAATCCAGCAGGACCCTCAGCCCTGGCTGCCGGGTCCGCGTTTTTTTTCCTTAGGGGGTAAAAAACCTCCTTTTTTTTTCCCTTTTCTCCCTCTGTCGAGGCGGGGAAAGCTCCGCAGACCCCCCCGGGAGGCGCGAGGTGGGGAGTTTGGATGGAGGGGCAGGCTGAGGGGTGTGTGGGGTGGGTTTTTTTTTTTCCCCCCCACCACCAACCCGAAAAGAAACGGCCTCCCAGACCCCACACACCCGGTTCCACTCCGATCCATAAAACATCTGCAGAGAATTTCAACCTAATCCTGGCGGTCTCCGGGGTGTCGGAGCAGCGGGAAGGATTTGCAGGGAGATGCAGAAGGCTCCGAGAGCCGGCAAAAAAACCACCAGGGCCCCCATTTCCCTCCCATTTCCCCCCATTTCCCCACCTCCCCCAGCACCACCAGCCTGCGGGGGGGTCACATCGAGCCGTAATACACGTTCCCTTTTACTGGTCCTATCCGAGACCTTTGGACACGGGCAGCTTCAGAGGTAAATATTTATCCTCGCAACTCAACTCCAAGAAAAAATAATAATAATAAAAAAGAAATGAAATAAAATAAAAACTGCTCAGGAACGTGCAGAAAAAGGGGGCTTTTTTTTTTTTATTTTTGGCTCGTGGAAAAGCAGAGCCCAGATGGGAAGAGCTGGGCTTCCTCCCCTCT